GAATCTGCCGAGGCTATTAAGAAGGTCGCTGAGGCCGAGAAGAGAGAGGCCGAGGACAAAAAGGCCCAAGCAGAAAAGGAACTTCAAGACGCTTTATCTACTAAAGACGCCGAAATCAAAGCGGCCGACGAAAAGGCCTATGCTCAACGAATGGCCGACATCACTGAAGAGTACAAACTGCAAGTTAGGCAGGCAGGCAACAGGGGCTTCTCCCTTGGTTGGATGGCCCTTGCCAAAAAGCTCAACATCCCAGATGACTCGCCACTGCGCAAAGCTGATGATATCCCTCTGCCATTCCCCCTCCTCCTCCTCCTCCTCCTCCTCCTTATTTCTTCTGTTTCATTCTCTCTCTAACACCACCACATCCACAAGCCCTACTTCTGCTGCTGCTGCTGCTGCTGCTGTAATACCCAATCAAGGAGTCAAACCTAAAGCCTTACCCAAACAACCATGCAATTTGGGTCCCAATGATCTTCAATCTGCTTTGATTTCGTTCAATCGCATGCTCCAAATGCGACCTTTGCCCCCCATTTCTCAATTCAACAAAGCGTTAGGGCCTATTACCAAAATGGGTCATTACGACATCTCTCTTTCTCTTATTCTCAACAAGCTGCTACACTTCCAGGGCAATCAGCTCAATATCTACACCTTCAACATTGCTATTAACTGTTGATGTCGCCTTGATCAAGTCCATTTTGGCTTCTCTCTGTTAGGTTCCCTCTTCAAACGTGGTTATACACCTGATGCAATTACCTTCAACACTCTGATTAATGGACTTATTTTGCAAGATAAAACCCCTGAAGCTGTAGAGTTATTTGAGAAATTAATCACAACTAGAGAAATTGAACCCAACGTGGTTATGCATGGAACCATTGTTAATGGGCTTTGCAGAACTGGGAACACTATCAGGGCTGTTAGTTTGCTTAGGATAATGGAAGAGGGAAGTTGTAAACCGAACACCGTAGTGTATAGCACGATTATTAACAGTCTTTGCAAGGATAGAATGGTGGATGATGCTGTCAAGCTCTTTACAGAAATGGATGAAAAAGGCATTCATCGAGATGTTATCACTTATACGTCTTTGATTCATGGCCTATGTAATTTCGGTCGGTGGAAAGAGGCTACCGAAATGTTAAGAGAAATGTTTGACAGTGGTATTGCTCTGAATGTTCATACATTTAATGTGTTGATGGATGCATGTACCAAGGAAGGGAAGATGAACAAGGCAGAGGGGTTACTTAAAGTCATGATACAAAGAGGTGTGGATCCTCATGTAGTCACATACAATACTCTAATGAATGGATATAGTTTTCAAGGCCACATGGATAAAGCAATCAGAGTGTTCGATACCATGGTGGATAGGAGCATTCACCCTAATATTTTTAGCTATAACATTCTGTGGGGATATATTTTTTGAGTACCAACACGTGGCCAAGGTGACGCCGACGTGTCAGCCGAGGTGCCACGTGTCCTGGTTGTTATGCCGAGGTCATCTCGGATAGGCTGAGGTTACCTCTGAAGATATCGGAATCTGAGATAAGCGGATGAGGAGCAAGAGTCCTAGAATGAGAGAAGACTTCAGTTTGTATTAAGATAAGACTCTTAGAGAGTTTGTCCTAATCTTACTCGGAGTCCAAGATTAGCAGTAATCCTGAGTCCATAGAAGTTAGGCTTCTATTGGGACTAGGTTTATGTTGGCTATAAAAGAGAGGCACCCCCATGGATCTAAGGTTATGCTTTTTCTATACTTTTCACAGTCTTGTGAGTGTTAGCACTTATTTGATCTTTGAGAAAAATATATCTGACCTTTATCGTCGGAGTGCCCGCGGGTGGACGAACCACCGTCGGAATCTTCTCTTTCTGTTGCAGGTCAGCCAGGTGCCATCTATTCTGCCGGTGCTCTCTAACTGGTTACTAAACGGGCAGTGTGGTCAGAAAATCACCCACACAATTTGGCGCCGTCTGTGGGAAAGAAAGAAGAATAGATGGCCAATGACGGACAGAAGGATCAGATTGGAGACAACGCTCCTGCTAGGAGTGGGAGACCTATCAACCTCGACGTTGAAGGGGACAATCGTAACACAGAAACTCGTGACCAGAGTCACAGAGTGAAAGACGCCGGCCAGAAAGGTGACGCACCAAAGACAACAGATCGAAGCGGATACTACAATGAAGATGACCTCCAGGTATGGAAGGATAGATACCTGCGGAGGAACGACGACCCTTCCAAAAATGATGCAAAGACAGGGGGCATGAGCACTCCAAAGGAGATAACATTCAAGTATAGAAGAACTTATCCTAAGTTAGCAGATCCCGGATTCCAGATCCTGGATCCCGGATCCTAGAAGACATGATCTCGGCCTAGATGAGTAGGTCCGAGAAGAGAAAAGCTCAACCTGAATGAGCAAATCCAAGATTCTAGCAGACAAGATCTCGGTACTTAAGTCCAAGAAGAGAAGAGCACAGTGAGCAGATCTCAGATCCCAGAAGATAAAAAAAGAAAACACACAAGGTTGGACTGCAGTTAGCCAGGTTGAAGACCTTTTATAAGGTTCGCAAAGGAGTATGTGGAAGCCATGCAGGGGGCAGAGAGAAGAAGAATATGTTTACCACTTGTTGAAATTTGCAACAATTTACAAGTTGGTTAAACCGATATGATGTTTACCACTTGTTGAAATTTGTAGCAATTTACAAGTTGGTTAAATCGATATGATGTTTACCACTTGTTCAAATTCTGTGTGAATTTACAAGTTGAAGTTAAACTGAGACGATATTTAACACTTATTGAAATTCTGTGTGAATTTACAAGTTGAAGTTAAACCGAGATGATGTTTAACACTTGTTGAAATTCTGTGTGAATTTACAAGTTGAAGTTAAACCGAGATGATGTTTAACACTTGTTATGTGAAATTACAAGTTAAAGTTAAACCGATGTGATATTTAATACTTGTTGAAATTCTGTGTGAATTTACAAGTTCAAGTTAAACCGAGGTCGTATCGGAAGAAGATTGGTTTAAATACTTGTTGAAATTCTGTATGAATTTACAAGTTATAGTTAAACCGAGGTTGTATCTAAAGGAAGATGGTTTAACACTTGTTGAAATTTTGAGAAAAATTTACAAGCTGAAATTAAACCGAGGTTATGATAAAGGATGATGGTTAAAACACTTGTTGAAATTTTTGAGAAAAATTTACAAGTTAAAGTCAAGCATAAGCAATATCTGCGTACTTGTTGAGACTACCAGGTTATTAAAACTTGAAATATGGAAAACTGAAGTCTTGATAGAAGACATTGAGAAAGTGACA